TTGCTAGGACTCATACTTGAGAATAATTTGCAATTGACAAGAAGTGACGTAGAATTGGCTTACAATCTTGCATGTTGAAGCGTTGCAAGACTTTCAATAAATAATTCTTCTGAGAAAGCCAAATCTTCCTATCCTTGTTGTCTTGGTATATTTGCATCCCTAAAATCTTGTTTGTTGATCCCAAATCCTTCATATGTCGTACTCGTTGAATTGTTCGAATAGTACCATCATACATTTTTAATTTGACAATACCGACTCCAGCAACTTCTAAGGCATGATCATTTCCCACGAATACGGATCCTCCTGAGATAGGTTCATAAGTACAAAATCAGTCTTGCCATGGAGTCATGTGCCAAGTTGCACTTGAATCCAATATCCAACATTCATGGAGTTGTCTTCCACTTTTAGAATTTATTTCTGCTTCACTATATAAGATGTCACTATCATTTTAGGTACTTGCAACACAACCTTGAGAAGTTGATGCTTCAGAGTTTTTACCTCCTCCACTCTTCTTGTGCCAACAATCTTTCTTCATGTGCCCTCTCATGCCACAATTGTAGCATTTGAGGTTCTTCCTTCTCCGAGATTTTGATCTACTATGATTTTGACTCCCACTGAGGCCACGTTCCACTAATCTCCCTCTCATCATTGTCAATTCTTCTGCTTGTTTAGAATTGTCCAGTCCATCTTCCTTATTCTTTCTCTTGGATTCTTCTTCAAGAACTGCTCTGGCAACATCATCAAAAGATAGACAACCGATAATGTTGTTATTTGTTATATTGATGATGAGTTGATCATATGAATCTGGTAAACTCTAGAGTAGAAGCTCTGCACGTTCATTTTCTACTATTATGAAATATGAAGTTGTAAGGTGAGCGAATAACATATTTAGATTATTGATTTGGTCTGGTACTGATGTAAACTCACTCATTTGAAGAGTGTAGAGTTTTTTCTTTAAGAATATTCTGGTATGAAGTGACTTGACCTCATACAACTTGATCAGAGTGTCTCAAATCTCTTTTGCAGTCTTCTTCTCTACAACACTAGATAACACTGAGTATGCCAATGCTAAATGCAAATCGGCAACAATATTATTATCAATTTCTTTTTATTTTTCTTCTGAAATATCTGCGGATCTGCCTTCAATTGCATCAAGACAATTGTCTTTCCTCAAAATTGCTCTTATCTTTAATTTCTAGAACCAAAAATTTTCTCTCTTAATTATTCTGACTTATGCAACTTTCACTGTAAATAGTACTACCTACTAGAATAATAATGATGGTAGACTGTAAACAAGTACACACCAGATATGCACTTTCACAACTAAAATAAGAGATGAGAAAAATAAGAGTTAAAAGAGAGACAATAAAGACAATATTGTAACTTTAGTAAAGAAAAAAATTATACCACTCTTAACTCAATTTAGGACTACAACTAATGAGAACAATATCTCAAGGTAAAAATATAAGAAAAAAGGAGAAGAAAAAAGAATTTTTTGGGATAAATATGATGCGGGACCCCAAGGCTTTATTTATAAGCTCAATGAGGTCCTTGATTTGAAGTTCACACCAATGTGAGACTTCTTTCGTATAGATATTATAAAAGGAGGAGAATTCTCTTCAACTTTTGTGCGAATTATAGCATGTAATTAGTACAATTTTTTATATTTTTACTTAAGTGAAATTTTTTATTGAAATTAAAATACAAAAATGCACTTATAATAAAGTTAACTTTGAATGTGATCCATTATAAAACCCAAAACTAAAAGTGAAAGTTTCATTAATTGATCTTCAATATCATGTATGCACTTATAAGCAAGTTAACCTAGTTGTGTGATTTTCTTTTCTTTTGATAATACACATGTGAGATTTTTTTCACTCAAAATCTACGTACAAACATCATGTTGGTAAATAAATATCATTGCACGGCATGGATAAGAATACATACGTACAGTATTTATTATTATAGTTGACAATAAAAGCAAGATATGTTAATAGAAATTACTTTATAAATATTAAAAATTAACCTTGAATCTCAAAAGGTTTAAAAAAATTAAAATATCAAACTACATTATATTAATAAATCAATAGAAGAGTAAAACTTCTATTTAATATTCCAAAGTTACGCGCGACATGAAGTGCACTTTGTAGTGCACTTTGTTAAGAATTTAGTTCCTGATTATTGAGTTGTCTTGGAATTGAAATCGTGTCCTAACTTTGTAAGAGCATAAAGTCAATTAGGGGACTCAAGCCTCAATTGGTTATATTCAATCTCATTCATCGAGTAATGCTAATAATATATTCTTTTAATACATTTAATAGGATTTTATTAAACTGTTAAGAATATGTTTCCTTAATAATTTACTTTTTAAAATAAGTATTGATTTTAAAAGAACCTAATAATTCAAAATTTGATGAACAGCACATTAAAAAAAGCAGTTTTTCTTTCCGATACAAAAACGAATTTGGACTACTTGTTATTAAATTTAATTAGCTAGTGACTTTTTACCCCCCCCCCCCCCCCCACAATAGTATTAACATGAAATATGCCTCTAATTGGTTAATGTTAAATACATCAGAAATTTTGCCCAAACAAATTCATTCTTAATTACAATATTGTTAAAATATATTATTAGAAATGTTTAATTTCTATTTTATAAACAATTTTGTATTTTTAAAATAAAATAAAATATAATATAAATTTATATTATATTTTATTTTTAAAAACAAAAAACTAATTTTAAAATACAAATTAACGTGCTGTCTCATTGCTTTGTCCGCTAAGTGTAAATCTTAGTCTTATTTTCTTTCTTTTTATTTTTGAGGTTCGGTGGTATTTGCCTAAATTACAAGATTCGAACCCTATGCCTAAAACTTTTGAACTCTTAACTTTATTACTTTTCTTTTAATGATTATTAAGAAGCATAATGATTCTTAGGATATTAAATTATGACAGCATTATAATAATGCATATAACATAAATAGATCTGTGATTTTTTTTTTATTTAAACAAAAATGAACTGACTTAAAAAAAATAAAAAAACAATAATAAAATAATTATATAAAATTTGCTTAACAAAGTTTGTGATTTCATCTTTCATCTTTTTTTCCCTCATTCCCAACCTCTCTTTTCTCTCATCTAATTATCTCTCCTCTAATCTCTCTCTCTACCTCCCCACTCTCACCCGTTCTTCCTCATAAGAATTATGCTAAATTTATTTAAATAAATTGTGTCATTTTTTTATTGTTTTTTGTATTTTTATTTAAGAAAATTTAATTTTAATAAAACAAAAATGAAACTAAACATCTAATTTATGTCGCTAAAAGAGAGAATTTGAATAAAAATAAATAGAATATAACCAAATATACATGCTTAAGTTTGCATAGAATTTAGCAAACTTAAAGTTCTACAACACTACAAAACTAAAAATATTAGTAAATTTTAAAAAATCAGAATTTTATCTTGCAAATTAACCTTAAGAAAATCACTAGATGTAAACAAATTTTTGTTTCTCTCTTCTTTTGTTATCTTTCAAATTAGTCCAAACTCCAACAACAAAATTCAATGTGTGCAATTATGGGGATTAGCTTTACCACTTGAGTTATGTGGGAAGTTTCTTCGTCTTGTTTTCATGTAATAATTGTCCCACCAATGAAAATGGGTTGAAATTCAAAGTGTGCAATGGTGTTTGTTTCATGACCCAACTTCTTTCCTCTACTAAAGCATAATAAATCAGTTGTTTTTAGGGGGTTATTTTCTGCACTTCTTTTCTTTTTACACCCTTATTAAAAAAAGCTTGTAATTTCTCTCTCTAAAATACTCTTTATAATAATAAAAGGTCTTCTTAAATAAGTTTTCAAAATTAAGTTATTACATTTTTAAAAATTAATTTCTAAAATTATTAATTGTTTCTAAATATAAGTTTTCAAAATTAAGATTTTGCACTTTCAAAAAATAATTCTTAAAATTAATTTTTAAAATTATAAACTTTAATTTAAAAAAATTATATTTAAAGTGTGAAATCTTAATTCTAGAAATTTATTTCAAAGATTTATTTTCAAATTTGTTGAAACCTAATTTAAAAAACTTATTTAAAGAATATTAATTCTATAAACCTATTTCAAGAAAAGTGTCAGTGTTGTCACATCAACCGAGCTAAAAAAATGCCATTTTTTATTAAAAAAAATTAAGGTATCTATAATATATTCAAAATAATGAACATACTCATAGTTATATGCTTGAAATACGCTGAAAAGAAACTTGGAGAAGTAGAGGAGAAAAAAATGAAATATCGATTGAAAGGAAAATTGAAATTTCAAAAGACAAAAAGACTATTAAACGAAAATTAAGAAAAATTAAATTAAATTATTTTTAAGACATTTTAAGTAAAAAAAATAGTGAGTTGTATAAAAATTTCAAAAAACAACTCCCTTATTTTTAATGTTCTTCCACTGCAAATAGAATGAGGCCCAGTTTGAAAACTCCATGTTAATAGCTAAAAGGCCTCTTTTGCGTGGTCAAAATGGCTTTGATAACAAAATTAATGGGCTTTCACAGTCCATTTTCATCTGCCTAACAAAACATTGGGCTACCAATATCATATAACCCGACCACATAAGAGGAAATATAAAATTTAAAATTATTCAATAAAGTTTTTGTTAAATTTAATTTTTAAAACTGAATTTAAACATTTAAAAATAATTCTTTTTATTAAAAACATTTATTTTATTAAAATATAATAACTATTTTTATTAAATTATTAATATTATTATTGTTATTAGTTACCTATAATTAATTGTCACAGTCGCAGTCAACAGCCAGCTTCGACTTGTCAAGACTGTGAAACTTGAAATGAGAGAGTTCACACATACACACATGACATAAATGCATACTTCAAGATTTTTAAGTGGACGATTCTACCCTTTTGATGACAGCTTCTACGAAAGTCCTAAGAAAGTCCACTCCAAAGTCGAAAGTAAAACGTGTGTCTGACCAAGTTTGTGCCTTATCTGTTGCTTAGTTGTCTTCAATGAATCTATGCCATCTCCTTCTTGGAAAAACCCACCCAAAATTCCTCTCTTTTTCCCTCTTCAATCTTCAGTTTTATATATAAACATGTCCCCTTTCATCACTCTCAATAACCCATCAATTATCCACTCTCATTTTGAGCAATATCTCACTTTGTAGTCTTTGTTTTCTATTACCCAATACCTCACTATGGCTACACCAAACTCCCAACCCCACTTCCAAGATTTCTTGCCTGTTATGGCCAACAAGCTTGGTGGTGATGGCCTAATAGATGAACTGTGCAATGGGTTTAATCTGTTGATGGATTCTGGTAAAGGGGTCATCACATTTGAGAGCCTCAAGAGAAATTCAGCATTGCTTGGCCTTCAGGAATTCAGTGATGAGGATCTTCACTCCATGCTTGTGGAAGGTGACTTTGATGGTGATGGGGCCCTCAATCAGTTGGAGTTTTGTGTCTTGATGTTCAGACTTAGCCCTGAACTCATGGAGGGGTCTAAGTTGTGGTTGGAGCAAGTCCTTCAACAAGAAATCCAAGATTGTTTCTAATATTCTTTTTCTTTTCCTTCCCTTTTGATTCATTTGTCATTTTGGACAATTTTCACATATACTCTTGTAAGGAAACAATAGAAAAATGAAATAGAAAAAGTGCTTCATTTGATATTTCCTCCTTGTATAGTCTTTAGTTTAATTCAATTATTATGAACAAATGCTGGTTAACCATGAAATGTGGATCTGTACCTCAATTCCTTACTTGTTTGGTTTGTTTCCATTTTTTTTCTGTTCTAAACAATTGATGATTGGATGCATTTCTTATTCCCACCTTGAATCTGAACTGCTTGTGATTCAGTCCAAATTATCGGCTACCTTTAGAGACAAGCTAAATAAAGTGGAGAAGACTTGGAACAAACCGAAAGACCAAAATGCATTTTTTTCCCCACTCGTCACTACTCAGTATTCATCTTTAAGATTCGTAAGCTGAAATATTGTTCTAAAATATTGTGATGCATTAGCCTCTAGAAGTTGCACACATATATGCATTTAACTGATGGCTCTTAACATTTCTTGAATGAAACAACTACTTCAACCTTCAAACATGAATTTAAGGAAGCACGGAGGCAATATTATGAATCTAGGAAAATAGGCAATCACAGAATCTATCCATGCGTTTTATATGCCTCTATTCTGTTTTAATTCATGCTTCAATTTGTCTAGGATTGAAGCATGATGACTTGGAATAAACAAACAAAAAAGTGACCCCCTGAGATGTAATCTATACATGGCCATGCTTACACAGGGAGTGTGGTACTTGAAGGTTACCCTATAATTCAATTTATGATATGGAAAGGATCGGTAGAACTTTGCCGTAATGGACCTTGGGATGGCCATGAATTCGGTGACATTCCTGAATTGGCAACCATTCTACCTTTTGACTTTAAGATTGTGTCCAACAATGATGAAGTGTACTACACATACACCCCCCAAGAATAAGTCATCGATTACAAGGGTTGTTTTGTACCAACCAAATTATGCTCACCTAGGCTATACATGGATTGAAAAAGCACAATCTTGGAGGCTTAATTCAATTTTTCCTGGAGACAAATGTGACTACTGCAATCTTTGTGGTTCATTTGGGATTTGTGACATGGATAAGGCCCCTCTGTGCAACTCCATACTTGGATTCAGACCAAAATCACCCCACGATTGGGACACAATGGATTGGACACAAGGGTGCATGCAAAGCCGATCTTGGAGTTGTAGGGAGAAGAATAAAGATGGGTTTCGCAAACTTAATAGCATTAAGCTGCCTGACACCAGAAAAAATTTGGTTGATGCAAGTATGACACTTGAGGAATGTAAGACTAAATGCTGGCAAATTTGTTCTTGTACTGCTTATGCAAACTTAAATATCGCGGGTGGACGAAGTGGATGTGTGATTTGGTTTGATTGATCTATTTGATATGAAATACATTTCATATCCTGCGCGGGATTTGTATGTTAGAATGGCTACATCAGAAATAGGTACAGACAAACCGTTGTTTGATTTCAAATACATATTTGTTCTTCTGAATATCTTTAATTAGATGTTTAATATTTGCTTTGTTAACTCTTACTTCTTTTATTTGTCAATCAAAACAAGACACAAAACATGACTTTTAAGATAAAGATGGCTTTCATCACGAGTGTCATTCCATTTATCATTGGGATATTTTTACCAGTCACTTACTTCCACCGGAGGAACTAAGGAAAAATTAGAGGTAACCTTTACTAACCCATTTGACTTTTCTCGAATGTTTCCAATTTCATTGCCTTGAAATGCTGGGGGGTTTTGGTTTGCAAAAGTTTTATTTTTTTATTTTTATTAATAATTATGAAAATATTACTTTCTTTCTTACTTTTAGAGGTTTATATACAAAATTATAAATATTATTTTTGTAAATTTTTAAAATGAAATAAAAAGTGACATATATATATATATATATATATATATATATATATATATATTAGTTAAAATAAAATATTTTCATGGTTCAATCAAAAGAGAAACTTTCACAATTTATAAGATAAATGTTTTAATCCTTTTTAAAAATAGACCAATTATGAAGAGTATAAAAAGTCTACATTTCTAGCTCTTATTTTTTACTTATAATTAACTCTTAAGTCACAAGATAGCAACCTTATCATGATACAAGACTCACTCCCTCTAAACAAGTCTTAATATATTAGAATTATTAACAAATGACCTCCCGTGAATTCAACTGAAATATGTAAATTAAAGGGACAAGGATATTCTGCTGGATAGGGTCTTAGAAAATTATGCTCATTTGTTTTACTTTGAGACAAAACAGAGAGCACCTTGATGAAAGAAAAGAAGATTGGTAGCTAGCTTCGTTTGACTTTGCTATAATAGCTCGTGCCACTAATGACTTCTCAAATGACAAGAAGCTTGGCGAAGGAGGATTTGGACCTGTATACAAAGTAAGCGGATAACAAGCTTGATAAAAAATAATAGAGAACCAAGCCTAGGTACTCATTTTACTCATCAAACTGAAGTAAATTTTTTTATTTGACCAAATATGTTTGTTTTAGGGTATGCTACCAAATGGACAAGAGATAGCAGTTAAGAGGCTATCCCAAAGATCTTTTCAAGGATTAAAGGAATTAAAGAATGAACTTATATTTTGAGCCAAACTTCAACATCAAAATGTTGTTAATGTCCTTGATGTTCCATTCAAGGGGACGAGAAATTACTCGTATATGAGAACATACTCAACAAAAGCTTAGATTATTTTCTCTTTGGTTAGTTTCTTTTCAAAAAATTAACAGATAATCAAATGAAAAAGTTTCATTTATTGCTTATTACTCATGATGGATTAAAAATAACACGTAATTGATGAATTTTGCAGATTCTAACCAAAACAGATCTCTAAATTGGTGTACACGCTTTTAAATTTTAAGTGTAATTGATCAAAGATTCAAGATTGAGAATTATATATAGAGATCTCAAAGCAAGTAATGTTTTATTAGATAACTATTTGAACCTAAAAATATCTTATTTTGGACTGACACAAATACGTGAAGATGATGAAATTGAAGAGAATATCAATAGAATTAGTTGAAAGTAATTTAATAATGATAAAATTTTAATACACAATAATTAAATGTCAAATTAATTCATTAGTATTTTTTAGGGGTTATATGGGACCTGAATATGCCATTCATAGATTATTCTCAACCAAATATGATGTATTTAGCTTTTACATATTATTATTGGAAATAGTAAGTGGAAAGAAAAGTCAACAGTTTCCCAATGCAAATGGTAATTTTAACCTCATTGGATGTGTAAGTCACAAAATAAAAAATTAAGTAAGTTAATATTTTCATGTAATGAAACAATAGTTAATGCTTATTAGTTGGATTAAACATAAAAAAAATTATGTGGATGAAAATTTTCTCAAGACTAAACTAGAGAGACTAAAAGTGTATGTAATTAATTCTTTTTATAATCAAAATTTAATGAGTTGCTTTGTTTTAATTAAAGGATAGTTAGATAAATAAAAAAAAGATTTTAGTCTCATATCAACATGTAAATTTAAATTTGAAAAAAGAAAAACTTAAAAACATGTATCACATATGCATGTTGAACATTAATAACATTTTTCCAAATTAAACTCACTGTAAAAAAATTTATTAAAAGGGATAATTATCAACTTCAACATAATGGTCAACTAACTATTTGCTTAATCGTAGTAGTAATCGTTAGTTTACATTTTGTTTATTAATTACTTAGTATTTTATTAGTTTGTTAGACTCTGATAAGTCCTATGATCTTCTATCCTATAAATACAAGTTGTATAATTGATAATGGAATCACATCTACTTTTAGTTTTTAGTTTTTAGTTTTATGATTTTAATTTTTTTATTTTAATAATTTTAAATTTTAATATCAAAATTTGAATTCAAAACATAGAAATCACATATTACATATTTTAATTTATTTATTAAAGGCATATAAGACAAAAAACGATAATAATAACAATAGTATATGCACAAGACATCTTACAAGTAACCATGAATATAGTAACTTATAGCTGTGACTTGATAATAATAACAGTCATAAATAATAATTATAACAATGACAATTAATGATAGTTATAAGAGTAACAATAATTAGGGTAGTAATAGTAGTGCCACAATAATTGTGATTATAGTAACACTAATAAAAATAATGCTTACAAGTTATTAATGAAGGATCTGGATCTTCTACAGTTTAAGTAAGAACTGTAATATACAGTCCAAATTCGTTTAAATAAATTTAATAGAAGAGTAATTTTTATTTAAATTAAAATTGTAAAAAAATTTAAAATTTTATCTTCTTTCTTTCTAAATTACAAAAAATTTAAAAAAAAAATTGTACAAGATTATGTAATTATATTTTATGATCATACCATAAAAATTTAAGAGTTTTAGAATATATTATACTGTAAATATTTTTTAATTAATTTCTTTAAGTTATTATTCATGTAATTTTTATTATTATTCTCAACAATTTAACTTAATTCTAAATAGTTTTATTTTATTAATATTTAGTACAAGTAGCACATTAGCTAATATATTTAAAATAAAAACAAGAATATTTGGTAGCTAGAAAGTTATTAATGAAAAAATAATTTTTTTTCAAATTTTATGTAGTTCAAAGAAAAAGAAGATAAAATTTTATAAAAAAAATATAATTTTAAATTAAGTAAATTTTTTGGTTGAAATAAAAATATTTTTATTAAATTTACTTAAATAAATTTTTTAATTTAAATAAAAATTATTTTTTGTCAAAATTACTTAAACAAAATAAAATTTGTTTAAATAAATTTTAGACTGCAAAAATTTCTGCCAAAATTACATGGACAAAAATGATGATAAATAGTTAAAGTTGGTAATGTATATTTGTGATAATAGCATTGCAATGATAACAGTGGTCACATTGATAAACATAATTAATCGATGGTAATAGTACCGATAACAATTATCGGGTAATGATCAGTGATAGTTGAGATAATGGTACGGTATGGTAGGTGGTGGTCGAGATAATGGTGGGAATAACAGTAGAAAAGTGATGACAATAAAAATAAAGATAACACATACAGGTCTCTTGATAAAGGCAAATAGATTAAATGTGTTTTTTTTATTTGACTAAAAACTAAAATTAAAAAAAATAATTTTAATTTCTAAGTGAAATTGGTTTCAAAATTAAATTAAAATATATTTCAACTTTATTTTAGGCAAATGCATTTTGCTATTTTATGTGCTTAGGAACATAAGTTTTTCAAAATTAAAATAATTTTTTCATGTATAGTCTTTGTCTAACTAAATTCAAATTGTTAGTAAAGACTTTGAAGGAGGTGTATACTAACAAATAATCCAGTGTGATAACACTAATAATATGACGGTATATATTAATTTTTTTTATTCAGTTTAATCTGAATTTGAATGACCAGAATTTATATATTAACATTTTGTATCAATAGAATTATTTATTAAAATAATATATTGTATTATGAGTCTAAATATAGACACGTGCCTGAAGACAATATTTTTTTCCAAAATAAGTTGGCATTACACACGTAATGCACTACACAAGTAATAGCCTAAAGAAAGAAAGTAATAAACATAATAAATTATCATAAACTTTCTGCAAAGTCTTTTTGTTTTTTCCTGAGAAAAGTCTTCTAAAAACACTAGATTTATTGCTCTTTTTGAAAATTTGGCATAATCCAAGACTAGTCCCAATCAATAAAAATTCAACATATATGTATTTTTAAATTTTTTTAACATGTGCCAAGATATAAGTGATTGAACCAAATGATCCCAACTTAATAATTTTTCACTGATAGGACTGTTACAAATACGACTGATACAAATACGAAGTGACTTGACGTGGTTGAAAGTGAAATGATAAAAATGTCTCGTTTTGATTGGCAATACAATAAAATGAGCCGATTAGACATGAGAAAAAAAAATTAAGATTAAAAAGTTTGAAGGTAAAAGATTCTAACTTAAAAATTATTTGGATTGATAAAATAAAAAAATAAAAAAATTATTTTTACTTACTTAGTATAGTAAAAAAGATTAGTGAATAAAACAAAATGCCTTAAAAAATAATATTTTACGACCACAACCCATTTTTAATCCATTCATATTTTCTCCTTTAAATTCAACTAATCCAAACAAAGCAAACATAGATACCGAATTCAGTCATCTAATCCATAATGCTTACTGTACCAATTATTAAGTACTTATGTGAACTTTAACTCGTGCCAAAATAGAGCACAGTCCCACGATCAATGTGCTTTGATGATGTAATAATAATAGTATTTTTTTTATCATGCTTGTATAATTATAGATTCACATTTATGGTAATAATGATATGAGTTATATATATTACGTTAGTGTTACTTTAAAACATAAAATGTAGTTTTAAATATGTTATATTTTCCTTTCTTTGTTATTCATGAGAAATTATTATTATTATTTTCTTAATTATAATAAATAGACATTTAAAAATGTACTAATTATTACAAAAATATTCTTATTATCATGA